TCTCTGTTCTTAATCACTGTTCTATGGCTTCCATCAGTCCAGTCCCTCTTTCTCTAGCTGAGGCCAGATTGTACGCCATTGATGGACTGTCTCTGTAACTCACTGAGGGGAGACTAGCAGAAGCAGGGAGACTGCCAAAGTGGCCAGTACTAGAATGGTCTTTGAGCCACTAGAGTGTAGCTGTAACAAACCGGTCCCCAACCTGGGAAGCCTGGCTGTGTTGTTGCAGAAGAAATTTTCCAGTTTTTTCTTCTTCCACTGTGCTCTTGGTGTGAGAGAAGTCCTCCCTGAGGCAGCCTGAGTGATTCTGTAGTGCTGATGAGCCAGAGACCCTGACCCAGATGGAGATGGAGAGGCTCTGAGTCCAGGCTGGATCCACGTTTGTAGCTATGTGAGTACAAAAGGTCAGAGAATGGTGGAGTAACAGAAAGGTAGATGTCGAGGCACAAATCAGAGAGCGGAGAGAATAGCTGAAGGTAGGAAAGCAGACAACGGGCCAAGAAGGACAGCAGTGCTGTGAAGTGGTGACGTGAGCCTGGGCACTGTGGTGGGACCATGTCCATAAGCCATTCCTGCCATCCCTGCTTTCACTCTCCTCAGTCTCCTCCAGGGAGTCTCTTGAGAAGAGTGATCCCACAGTGACAGTCCAGGGAGCTCAGCACACATTCCCAGAAATGGGAATCTGGGGTCTCTGAGCCACCTTGGGCTGGAGAGAGCAGGATAGCGTGGGCATGGATGGCCGGGTTCAGGTTCCTGTAGCCCTTGTAACCAGCCGAGGACACGCCCGAGTCCTGCCCAAGACACCTCTTCGTTTGGCTTCCTCACACCTCTTAGTCTTTTCTCTCTGAATTCAACTTGGTTTGTGGTTTCAGACTTCTTAACATCCTTGTTCACCCCAAAGTATATACATTCTCAGTTTTACGCCATCTAATGACTTCTGGATTTTTGAAAATTTAAATCTTTCATCCATCTGGAATTTATTTTGAAGTATAGTGAGAGATGGTTTTTTTTTTTTGTTACATGATTTATATGTAATCTCAGTACCAATTATCCAGGGAATAAAATTCATTCTTTCACTTTGAATTTAAAGTTACTTTACAAAGTGGGAATGAAATATGTAGCAACTTTCTTCATACTCATCAAAAATTAAAACTCCAAGAATTGTAACTTTAAGTCACAAATTAGGTTTTGTTTTTGTTTTTTTAATTTTTTGAGAGGGCAGGTACTGAGGTTTATTCATTTGTTTACTTAATGGGGGTACCAGGGATTGAACTCAAGACCTTGTGCATACTAAGCATGCATTCTACCAAGAAGCTATATCCTCCCCTCCAACAAATAAGGTTTTTAGTGGTTGTTCTTCAATCTCATATATTTGATCATCTTTTTGTTAGAAAAGGAGGCTGGAGAAAAAATGGCTGATTTCATTTCTTATATGTTTGTAAAAGACTTTACGACTGTCAAAATAAAGAAATCCTTTCATCTAGCAAAACAAACAAAATCCTAAAAAATGTTACCTTTAGATATTAAGTAATTCTTTTTCTGAATGATCTAGTGTGTTTTGATGCCCAGTTTATCTATTCATGTGCCAACAATGTGCTTTTACTTATCATCATTTTATAAAACATTTTAACATGTTAAAAAGCAATCCACATTCACTCTGCTTCCTATTCCAAAGTTCAGTACAGGGACAGCACAGAAAGTAGGTCAGTGGTTGCCTGGGGCAGAGCGTGGGCATGGGGATTAACTGTAAATGAGCAAGAGTGAAAGACACAGACAGACAGACAGGGACCAGGACAGAGACAGAGACAGAGAATACACAATAGATAGTGTGACACAGACTCATGCAGTGTTTCCGACGTTTTTGCCTGGTAACCTCACGCAGCAGAACCGGCCTACCTGTGGTTCACGGACTCCTTGGTTTTCCCTCTGACCTTATTCATCAAAGTCTCTGTGAAGGCACCCAGTGTTCCGCACTTTAAACAAATCCCCAAGGTGATTCTTAGCCCATGAAATTTTGAGGAGCTTTTTCTCAGAATACATGAAAATGTACCTGAGGATCAAAAAAACATTCCCCTCCCCCCCTCATTTTCAGTAAATGTTTCTGGAAAAAGATTGAGATGAACTGTTTTGACCCTTAGGCTATTGTGAATAGTGCTGCTTTGAATATGGGTGTCCAGATACCTGTTGGAGTTCTACTTCTCCCGTCTGCTTTTAAACTTGCTTCAAGGTTAGGGCAACTCAGATTTATAAGCTGGGAAGGGCCTGAGAGAGGCTGTTTGTCTGGAGTCTCTCCTCATAAAATGCAAGTCTTGAGTCCCAGGTCAGGACTCTGTTTCACCAGACTTAAAA